TGGCTAATGGCTGCCTTCTTCCTGGCCCGGGCCCTTAAATAACCTCTCTGACCTCAGCAGCCCGGTCCAATCGAAGCTGCCAATACTGGCCCGAAGCCAACCAATCTACCAAACATCCCTGGCTACCTGGGCCTGTGCGCAGCGCCGGGCTTCTCCCCCTGCCCAGGTGACCAGAGCATTTGTCATGCAGACCAGGGAGGAAGATCCCCGCCCTGAGGAATTCAACAGCAGCCTCTCACGCTGGCAGAGACAGGTCTCTGGAGAGGGGCACAGACGGTGGCATTTCTGCCACAGCTACAACCAACAACCCTGCTCTCTTCCTCTCTTTTAAGGGAATATTTCATTTAAATAGCGGAGTTAAAAGAGTTATTTTTATCTGGTATTGAATGTGGGTTTGTCAGGCAAAACACTTATGACTTTTTATATAATTAGGCTTTCTATTTCAACAGTTCTTTAGTTGTTTTGTAGCTTCTAATCATTTGTTTTTGCTCCAAACATCTATAGCCCTCTTAGCAGTCTTAAAGGGAGCGTTTTTACGTAGTTAGCGGGCTATATCCCATAACCAGAGGGCTGGCAGTGTGCCACTTTAGGATGCTTGTACATGGGACAAAAAATGTTGGTGTGGCTTAATGGCATCACACATTACATGTGTGTGAGTTTTGGGGGTTATAAATGAGTTTGCATCATTGCAAGCTAAACTATATCCTGACGTAGTTTAGTTTGCAGTGTTGCAACTGGGAACATTGCACCCATTAGTCAGCTTGGCTCTCAGCCATGGGAGAGGTGGGCAGGCTGTGCAGAAAAAAAGGATGGGGCCCCTCTCTGCTTCTGCCTTCAACAGGCTCTTGTGGCCTGCGGGAAACCTGGGCACGGTCTGGCTTGCCCCTGGGGCAGCATGGGGAGGAGGGCGGCTGAGTATGCTGGCAGCCAGAGAAGGTGGCAGGGGTGGTGCATGGGGTGCAGTGCTGCCCAGGCAGGCTGCTAGCTAACTGGGTGCTGCCTCTGCTTGGAAGCACCAGATCCAAAGCTTCCCGAGCCTGTCTTGGCTTCCAGGAACCTGTGCACTCTCCCCACTGCCTTCTCTGGCTGCCAGCACACCCAGATGCTCTCCTGCTGACTCTCTGAGCTGCTCTAGGGTCAAGCCAGCCCATGCCTGGGTGGCCTCAGACCTCCTGCCAGCCTCAGGGGCCTGCTGAAGGAGAAGTGGCAAGGGGCCCAAGCCTTTTTTTCTGAGGAGCCTGCTTGCCTCTCCCAGGCTGGGGGGTAAGCTGACAGACGAATGGTGCAAATTAATGGCCCCCCGGCCATGGGAGAGGAGTGCAGGCTTTGCCAAGTGTGGGGGGAAGAAAATGGATCGGGCTCCTCCCCACTTCTGCTTTCAGTAGACACCTACAGCTTCCAGGGCAGTAACATATGTATAGGGATGGAAAAATAAAACCCACCCTTTCAATTTAGGGGACATAGAAGGCAACCCTAAAGACTAAAACCCTATCACATGTACAGCCACCCCTAGAAACTAATTGTTTCAGAGAGGTATGAGCTTTCATAGGTAACAGCCTCTTTCATCAATTTGTTAGAGATGGTCCAACTATAGAGTTGGTCTAATAAATGGTAAATACCCACTATACTTATCAGACATTCCTTAGGTCATCATGACTAGGACATTGCTCCAAACTGATTTCTGAATTCAAGCAGATGCTGAATTGTGACCTCAGGATGGGCATTTGCAGATCATATCCTCTAGTACCTTCATATAACTGCATATATCTTGTTATATATATTTTTCAGTCAAGAAGTTCTGTGGACTGAATGACATTTACACTAACACAAAACCCAACAGTAATTCACTGGATGGGGTAACCAGTGCACCAAAAGATTTCAGCGGAAACACACTTACCTCAATGCCAACTGCAGCCTTAACTCCGAGCCTTGAAGGTGAATACATTTTTGAGAATTTTTTTGAGTAAGTCATATTTAACATTACATTAGCAATTTTTGTAATACTCATACTATGTCCTTAAAGGAAGCTTCTAGCATACAATGGACCAAAAATTCCATCGCCACCTCAGAGAAGATTTGTCGAATATATATTTTCTTTGGAATACCATGAAGCAACGAACTCCATTGCATGTTAAAAATATTTTGACACATTTCAACTACATTTGTTGACTTTTAGTTTCTTGGCATCACCTCTGAGTTGTCAGGCATTAGTGGTTGTCCCTTATTAATCATGACTGTGGAAGCATCTAGAGTCGCATAGTTTAACTCTCAGTAGTGTCTAAGGTGTCCTTCTGTCTTACCTCCTGCTTGATTTCAGACTAACACAGCCAAC